TGCAGAACAATTGGAAATGCTCCAGTGTGAGCCCAGCTGACTGAGGTCTCCCTATAGTCTTCCCATCTTGCCATCAAGCGCGCTTCTCGAGAGGAAAGACAGAAGCAAGAAGATACCTGCTTAGGGCCCTGCTTATCGATCAAGCGCACGCAGCTGCGAAATGCGCTTCCGGCTCTGGCTGCAACGCGCTCGCGCTCTGGGTGTTCGTGCCATGTGGCCATGTGTGCTACTCAGTAGCACACATAGCCACAGTGCTGCTACTGCCCACGTTGCAGATGGGTACTGTAGCTGAGCTGCCGACTCAAGCACAAAGCAACCCAGTGTGTATGCACGCTGTCACTGACAGCGTGAAGCCATCGTGGCCGGGTTTCGAAACTCACCATGAGAATGGCATGGACCAGTGCAGACTCCTGAGACGCACATGATCATGGGCCTGTTGCGCTCAGAATCTGGTCGAGCTTTGGTGTGGTGTGCCTTGCAAGACTTCACACATTCTCACTCTCGTGTGTAAAAGTTCCATCTCTGATAATGTGGCTCTTGGTATCTAAAACCGTGCTGTGTGAACGCTGAGCAGTTGATGTTTGAACTCCAGTTCTTTGGCTGTCCAGGTTTCATCATTGGGTGGGTTTGGGTTCCTGCAGCTTGGATTTTACACGTGATTCTCCAAGTAAATGCGCTTGCGTTACAATATTGCTGCAACTTTCAGAATTCAGAGAATGCCGTGTAGGTTCTAGATCATTGTTTCTGAGCGTCAGAATGCTAGAATAGCATATGCCACCTAGTAGTTTGCCTTGGCGAGAAGTCCGCACGTTTAAAATGATTGGTGGGGGTGGTTCTTACTTGAGCTTTTGGGGCGCTCAATTTTCAGACTGCACTGTGTAGCGAACTCTTGATAGACCGTGACTTGACTTCCTGCACCCGCCGATCCCTGTCTTGGATTTTTTCAACCGTGTGTCTTTTCTTCCCGGTGCAGGTTCAACATGCCAGAGATTGCAATATGCTCTCTGGCAGCTGCGAAGGCAGGAAACCTGAATACCCGCTGGTTAGGACAATCTCTGGCGACACAGATGATTCTGACCCCCGCGACTACATGAGATTGGACAGTTGCGTGAAGCTGCGCAAATTTATGTAGCGTCTGCATGAACTTTGAGAGCAATTGTGGAGTGTGCTGGCAGCTGAGGTCACCAGACATATGGAAGGCAATGGCAAAGGAGGCGTAGAATTGCAAATGCGTGTGGCTTTCCGTGGTTCAGGTCCACAAGTTGAATCGGAGCTTCTTGTTGCGGCCGCGCGATTCTGCAGCCTCAACTGCTCAATTTGTACCGTAACCCGCAGGTGGACCAAAGATCTCCAATGCTGTCGACTTCTGCACTGCAGCGATGCAGCAGGCACATGATGCTCATGATGGGACGTTGACCGTAGCAAGGTGTCCAGGAGTGTCTCAATGCGCCTATCGAGGATGGAAGTGGAACCCTATGGCTGCCAATAAGCAATCTCAGCCACCGCAGCTGCATCTTGTGCATCGAAGTTGCGTTGACTAGCTACACCTGGGCAGAACTAAAGTTTTGAAGCTTACCACCACCCACCCGGCTGAAGTGCACGTGTGCGAGCGTCCATGTGCATTTATTCAAGCAAGTGTGCAGAGATGGATCAGCGTCAGAGTGTGAGGCACTGAACCGGCTCTCAGAGCTGTCGAGCCAGCTTCTGGTGAATTTGGCAGCGCCAGGGATCCCAGGGCTCACGCTTCCACCCACAATCAGGTTTCGGGTCCAGGTGTTATAGGTCACATTTTCAGGCTTTTGGGTTCAAGGTTCATGACATTGAGGGTCTTTGCTTGCATGGCTTTGTTTTTCCGCAAATGTTGGGCATACCGATATACCTTGGTGTCATTTTGCGTTGATTGTAGAAGAGGGAGGCATTTTGGCTGGCGGGCCCGTGGTAGTTGTGTGTCAGGGATTCGTGGACGGCTTCTGCACACAAAGTCTGTTGGGTGTTGTGTTGGGAGTCCACACGTTGCCAGTATGTTTGGTTATGTAGGGTTTCGATTGAGCTTTACAGGAATCTATAATTGAAGCTGCCACGGGTGTGCAAGCCGTCTTGTGGAGCTTGTAAATGTCCTGAGCTTGCTTCCGTCCTGCAGTAGCGAAGGACACCGAGTGCTAACAGGCTTGTAAGAATTTACAGCAGGGAGACAGTTTGGTTGGACGCAGCTCTCATACACTCTGACAAGAAGACCGATACTTTCATCTAGCGCATATCCCATAGGGCATCAGACTTGTACACATGCGAGCAAACCTCCCAGGGCCTTCCTGCTCGTGGGTGCGCCAGGTGCAGCATCGGCCTCGGTGGGTCTAAGATAAGGTGAGGCATCCCATTGATTACCCTATAAGAAATTGGCTTGAAGGGTCAGACCGTGCACTGCTAGCAGTAAAGATCAACACCAGCTGATGTTTCTCAGAAGACAGCGAAGCGTAGCATTCTCAGCTTGGATGGAATCGTATAGAACTGTATGGTCTAAGTCTTTTCTTGTAGGGAGCAAGATGTTACCCCGATGAGGATTGGTGACCACCTAGCAGCTGTTGTTACTTTGGGATGTCTTGCCTTAGGTCTTTGGAGGTTGAAGATTCACTTCAAGCGTGCTGTAGAAAAGAAGGGCGCGACATTGTTCCCTGACTAAAGTTCGACCAAGATGTCAAGCCTAGGTCCCGCTGAACAGGTGAGTCCACACAATCGGCTCGGCCGACGTACCCCGCACTTGGCAAGTAAGGGCTGCAAGTCACCTCCCAACCCCATGAGCCTGGCAGTTGCCGAGGTCGTAGTGCTGGCTGCTGTGGGCCGCGAGGCGCGGTTCCTAGCCAGCCTCACACCTCGGCAAGAGTCCGAGGTGCTTCCCACATCGCAGCCTATGCTGCTGCGTGCGCTGAAGATGCCTGTAGAAGGTCTGCGAGACTCCTTGGAAGGCTTTAGATCGGATGCAGATGCTGGAGAACACGGTGCTACTCCATCTCATCAGGCTGCCGGTGGCGCTGAAAAAGCTTTTTGTGCAGATTTCAAGCTTGCAATTGAGTCAATTTCGATCCAAATCAGAGGGGCATTTGCAAATTACCTGTTGCTTTGGCCGTGGCTGCAATCATAACGTGCTTTGGTTACGGCAGTGTCTGCTGCCGTAGTTCCTGAGCCTCATAGTGCAACGGATGTCCTAGAGAAACCTTCAATTGAGTTGAGTGAATGTGAAAGCTTTGAGAAAAGTAAAGCAGAAAGGAGTGAGCTCCAAAGCTCCCAGCCTAAACCCTGAAGCAGTAAAGCCCAACCCAATTCCTGAAGCTTTCCAGCGCAAAACTGGCGCCAGGGTTTTCTCCGTAGACCTGGCGAAGCTGCAGCCACCCGCTTTGCTGGAAGGTGGGGGAACTTCAGAGCTGAGCCTTCCTTAGGGTATGCTGGGAGAGATGATGATAAGGATGGGACCACGAAATCGAGGTCTCCCCCAAACTTGGTCAAACCTGGATGTTGGAGTGGCATAGTCAGTCCTTGTAAATGGTCATGAAAAGCAAGGGCCCCTTGAAGCACCTCGCGTTTCCAAGGCGCCTGCCAGGGGATGTTCCGCGCACTCTTTGCGGAGGCGGCGCGACGAATGGACTCGCTGAAGCCGAGGGAGCCGCAGGGCCAGGGTTTGCTGGAACAGTAGCAATGATTAGCAATGATGGTTCTGTGAAAAGATTGGCAACATGTACAACACCAGCGTAGGAATGATAGGGTTTCCTGACAGTGACACGGATCCAGAGTGGAGTGCCGGGCGGCACGGAGCTCACGACATCAAATCAATGCTTATTCGTAGACTTCCCTCAGCTTGGTGTTTTGCTGCGGCCACAGGCCTGACTGCTTAGGTCAGCTTCAAAATCTATTGAGGTCTTATGGTGATGGTCGCAGGTCAGATTTCAGATGACTACGCCAGAAGGTGAGGATTGGAGACCGGGAGATACCTCATGAGTTGTAACCTTGGGAGCCTTTGGTTGTTCATCGTAGTTGCCTTCCTTTCAGCACCCTGATTAAGGAAAACAATTTCTGGTGCTAGCATCAAACTCTCAGAAATGCATTTTAGGCGGCTAGCGCGGCGTTCACACTGTGCTGTGAACATGCAAATCACCTTTCAAAAGCCTGTAAAGATTAGTTTTATGAAGACATTCATTACATGCGTGTGCCCTACGCCCTCAACCTGCATGTCCAGGAGATGCAAAGTTTATCACTCCTTTGTGCGCAGCCGCTGGGTCTGCCAAATGCTGGCGACATGAGCGCGGGAGACTTGAGGAGTCCTGCACTCAGGCTCAGGGATGCGCCCTGTAGCTAGCAGCGGCAGGAAGTCCACGAAACTGCGCGGCCTAGCTTTTGACGCAGATGGAGGAGTAGAGGACGCCACAAGTATGCAGCCACGACATGCGTGCGAACATAGGTTGCTGGAAGTCATCAAGGGCGTACAGTTTTTGCAGAGACTTCCAGGCAGCCTTATTCGTTTTGTTCCCAAATGCCCGAAAAGGAAAGAAGCCCTCATCCTTGAAGCACATTTGAAGAGCAGCTTCGCTGGTGCTCAGGCTGCTGCTTCGCGTTGGCTGCCTCCTCAGATGTCCTGGCAGGTTGCATCATCCGCAGAAACTTCTCAGGGCTGCTGAGATACAGGGACAGCTTCTGAGGCCACCACAGGTAATGGGGCACACCAACCGATCTCCCTCCTGGACGAACTCATAGAGGACAGGCTGCCGGCAACGCCAGCTGCCAGCTGAAGTACATGCGGTGGGAGTCACGCAGGTTCATGCAGTTTCAACTCAACACGGATGTGCTTGCCATTGCTGGTCAAGCAGCAACACTGCATCCATGGAGTTACATTCAGGGATGCTTCTCTATCATCTTCAAGTGCTGAGCAGCGCTCGGCAATTTTGATTTCATGTGACAGGGGCCGCATCTGCTCGTGGGATACCATACGTAGCAGGAGATATCTTTGAGACGCCATGGCGATGCCTATGCAACACGCTCCTGCTCCTCCAAGCGAAGAGCTCTTTGTCACAGGACTTCCTATGGATTGCACCCACATCCAGGCCAAGCAGATCTTTACTCAGTATGGGGGCGTGAAGCAGGCGAATGTTCTCCCGGTGGCTGCCGGGAAGACAGCCGCAGCAGCCTTCATCATTATGGAAAGCGTGGAAGACGCAAAGTGGGTGGTGGACCATGCTGCTCGCTCATGTCCAGGAAACGTTCATATTCGATCAGATTCCAACCTTTCGTAGACTTCCGAATCCCTGATACCCTCACAAGGAAAAAAGCATCAGCTCCTTTGATTGGTACGGTATCCTGACCATCGCACAGGTTCATGGAAATGTCCCTCAGGGCTTGTCGAATCCGGTTACCGTGGTTTTCGCCACGCCTCGGGCGCAGCGTCCCAAGGGCGGCATGTGACTGGGGCCGCAACCAGTCACTGCCTAAGGGTTAAGAGCTCCCTTGACTCTTCCGAACGGACATGATACTATAGGAGGCTTCTTCTTGTGGAGAGGATAGTCTAGGGAATTTCACAGGTCTGTTGGGATTGCATGACCTACGATTGTTCTCGAAGTGTGTAATTCCTGTTTCAGCCAACTCTGAAAGGGCGCCATTTTCATGGGGTAGCATTTGGGATCGTACGGAAGACCTTCATCGCTGATGCCCTGTGAGCCAAGGAAGGGCGGCGGCAAGGGCGGCCCTCCACCGGAGATGATGGCAATGATGATGCAAATGATGTCGGCCATGGGTGGAGGGGACTGGGGCAAAGGCGGAGGCGGAGGTGATTGGGGCAAGGGTGGCAAGGGCAAGTGGTGACCATATGCGGCAGCTGAGACATTATGTAACGGCAGAAAACAAAAGCCTGCAAGCGGGTGGTTCTCGAAATTTACGGGCGACAAGATGTAGCTAGAGCGACCGGGGTCCCTAGTTTTGTGAGCTACTCGCTTGCCAGGGCATTGCACTGTGCTGCTCTCACGCTGTCATGGCATTGTTCAAGCATAAGGGACTAGCAGAGGAATGCTGCGAGCTGGCAGGACGACCACGAGGTTTTCTGGGATCCGGATCCTGTGGAGGCTCGGTCCCGCTAGTTTGCTGCGCACCAAGGTTTTGAAGGCATGAGCACATGCGGACACTTCAAGTCATACTGTAGACTCCGGCACTTGCGGGCCAGACATGATTGCTTCTCCCAGCGCCTCAGTTCCTGAAGACCTTGCCCACAAGACCTTATGGTCTATACGAAAAGCAGACTGGACTTTCCTGCCTCCGGCCTCAGCCCCAGACTCAAAGGTTTTTTCTAAACGTGATACCGGCTCCACACTTTCGCTTCCGACTGAAATCAACAACTCCCACCATTGCTGCTATCATCAGTCAGTACAACAATGTTTGTTGTTGCGACTATTGCTACCATTTTAGTACTATTGCTGCTACCACTGCAATTACTACTACTGCTATTGCTATTACTACTGATAATACACC